CATTGCCTTTGCAGGAGTCGGTATAGCAGAATCCATGTTTGCTTATTGGGGAACCTGGGCATGATCCGCATGTCCACGAATTCTGATGCATGAGTTTTTCAGTTTTGCATATTTTCAATTCCTCAATTCCGTGATGCGCGTGTTTGCACTTGACCCATTTTGAATCTCAAGAAATATGTGTCTGCCTCCGCAGCCACTTTCGGTTTACAACCAATCCGACCTTTGCAATCTTGTATGCTCGATCATCTCGTTGACATGCCCATCCTCAACCTGATGTTTGGACGATCCGGCGATGCGGCACCTGTGCCAAAGCCGATGATCAAGAGACGGGCGTCACCATTGAAGGAATCCCCTGCTCGTGATGAGGAAGATGAGACATCCGATTGCCCCATGGAGCAAGTCGCTGATGAGAATCCATCCGCCTCTCAACAACCCGAGAATGTCAACATGGAGCAGGTTGATTATGATCCAGATTCCGACGATGATGATTCAGATGAAGAAGGGCATCCTCTCGAGGAAGGCCTTTGTCAAAGGCGATGCCACATCCGAAACTTGTTCCAAAGTCACCGCCACCGACATTGAGGCTTGTCTCCAAGGTCAAGCCAGCACCAAAGAACACCCTGGATGACGAGACGGAATCCGACAATCATCCTGGTGATCGACCTGCACTTCCAAGGCGACCAGTGATGCGGCCTGTTCTCACATCCAACGATCGGTGGTTTGTAACATATGGATCGGATACGAACATCAGCCTCCAGAAGGAATCCGCGCACGCAGGACCATTCGGAAACTCAAAATTCATGACTTTCGTGCACGAATACTACAAGGAATGCTCAACCATCCTTGATGTCAATCCGGACTTCCACTTCGTTCCTGAACACGAGAGACCGCATGGAGTTAAGGTATTCTGGTTGAAGGCAAGATTCAACGATTACTGGCATCCGACACTCCAAGGTGAAGGACCTCATGCAGAGAAGCAATACATGGACTTCATCAAGAAGGTCTACAGCATCTGCTGCTACAGCAATGCTCAATCCGAAGTTTACGGAACTGACATCATCCCGATGGTATGCCACAACGGCAACATTGATCTCGATAAGACCGTCCAGAATGTCGAACAGGTTTGCAAATATTTCCGCATGGAAACATCCAAGGCGAAACAGATCACAGATCTCATCCTCTGGCGAATTGAGAGAATGAGCAGATCGTTTTCCGCATGTCTTCGACATGATCCAAGGCATGGAATCCATAAGGAATGCAAACGGCAGGTGGAAATGGGTCCTGATGGATCCGTCGAGCTCTACGACGCATTGACCTGCATCACATGTTCCCGAGCTATGGAAAATCACGTTTCGAAATTGCGTTCGTATTTCCATCCGTGGACGGGACATATAATGAGCGCAAGGCACGGGGAGAAATTGTTCCAAGGAATCGATGGATCGACAAGCTCAACACCAGATCCGCACAAAGTGCACTCAGGCCCGATGGCAAGGACTTCTATGTTGATCCTGAGATGGAGTTCTATGTGAGATGCAACAGCGGACACACACGACAAGTCGATATCCAATCCTTTGGACGACCCCTGTTCTCTGAGCAGAAAGAGCCTCATTACGACGAACCGGACTATGATTTGCCAACGGAATCCATTCCGCCAAGTCCGCATCCGTCAAGATCCGAGGCGCCTCATGGAGATGAAAGCACAGCTCAGCCCAAGTACAGAATGCGAAGGCCGGCACCACCATCCGTTGAAGAAGAGAGAAAGATCAAGCCGTTCTCGAAGAAGCCCATCACATTCATGTTCCATGCAACCTATGGAAGTCAGCTCTACAGCATCATGGAGCACGGGCTCAAATCTGGGAAGTCCCAGTCAAACCCTTCGGGGAGAATGCACGTTCACATGGCATGCATCGATGACGTCATCCTCGAAGACGATGAGTCAGAAACCGCATTGACCCATGTGCCAGCAGGAAGAGATGCGTTGCTGATCCTTGCATTTCTCAAGGACCAAGACTATGGCATCCGCCTTTCCGAAGAGAGAACAGCGTTGACAGACAAAACCATCGAGGCAAGAAACATTGTTGCAGCATTCGAACCTGATGGCAGCCTCATGGCGAGCAACAAGTGGATCATGAAGAAGTATCTCGATCATGAAGATTACGAGATGTACGACACCAAGATCCGCGAATTCGCCGATGCTTTCTTCACGTATGTGAATTCCACCAAGCACAACAAGGAAAAAGAAGAGACGGCGTTCCACCGATCAGGACTCCACCGAAGGAGAAATGATGGAACCCTCCGGGGAAAGATCCGTCAAGCCCAAGGTCATCGTGGAATATCACAATTCAGAGAACCTAGAAGAGTTCATCCAAGAACTCAAGGGAATCTATCTCGAAATAGATATGAACAAAAAGGACGCAGAGGAAGAGCTCGCGGGGATCAAGGAAGAACTCAAACGCTTCATGAACCAGTTCAACAAAGATCCGAAAGGAGCTCATCCCAAGTTGACAGAGTGCGAGAGAGCCTCATTGGCACATGTCGATCCTGATGTCAATCTCGGTGAAGAAGAATTCTACTTCCCTCATTGAGGAGAATGTCCCACCAATGACGAGTACAAGCAAGCTCAACCAGGATCCGGATATCCGATCAAGCTGCCGCTTGGACTGAAGAAGCTCAGGTCACAAGATGACCCGAAAATCATCCGAGCCTATGCCGATATCCTGGGATCGCTGATGCAGCCGACTGACCGTCCTTCCGTGGACTATCTCAACATGCATGAGTTCACCTCATCCATAGGGATCAACATCCTTACCCTGAACCATGGAAACCTCACAAGGAATCCAAAGTTGGACAACAGGGAGGTGTACAACATGCCGATGAAGGATCGACCGATCGTCAAGATGATGATGCAGAACAGTGCACACATCTTATGCCTGAATGAGGCAGACGCATTCTTCAGTCCGAATGATGAGAAATCCAGGGAGCTCATCAAGACGTTCATCCGATACGGTTACAAGGGCATTGTGATCAAGCAATGGTCATCCAGACCGATCGCATGCTTTGTCCGCGGCGGACCCTCTGCACGAGTGGAACTTCTGGCAAGACACATTTCTACCAGGAGCCAGAATTGGGGAACCACATTCGGAATGTTCAGATGTTTCTTCGGAACCAAAGGAGATGGCACTGATCCCGAATACGAAATTCCGACCTCGGATTGCTTGGCAACCACAGGAACATCCATGTTTACCGAATCCAAGAAGTACATTGGATCGAGATTGCCAGCACGCACCATTGTCCAAGGACATGGCCGAGACAAGGAGATCGTCGTTCTCCACATCGAGCAGAGTGATGAGTTTCGTGGCATGATCCCGAAATCATCCGACTCACGAGTATGACGACCGCCGCATCACGAGGGCAGACTTGCCATTCGCGACCATTGGAGTCTTCCACATCCATCCTTCACTTAGTCATGGAGCAGCAAAGGAAGATCTTCAGAATGAAATCATGCCGCTCGTGACCTTGTACCGATGCGATGCGATCACCGGAGACGCCAACAAATCGGCGAACACCTACAGCAAACTCCAGCATGTCTACAATCCAACCAACGGTCTCGTGAACATCCTCATGAGAGCATATCAGAGACTGTGGAATGCGACGAAGAATTTGCCACTCGTGGACAGAATGGAGTATACAGTGGAGACTTCGTGCACCCTGAGATCCATTGTCCGTCATCACCTGTACATGAAATGCGGATCAGGTTTTGATCGAACATTCCCAGATGTGATGATGACTATCGTATTTGGATGGGGCAAAACGAACATCCAGCAGGACTTCCGGAAGATCGAGATGAACAGTATGGATGATGAACAACTGGAATTCATGCGGAGCCATCCAGACAAGGCCATTTTCGATTACCAGGTCTCATCCGCAGAGCGCTACAAGCACGTGAACAATGAAATGTTCATGAACGGCTCGCAGGACTCCGACTCCCACAGTCCTCTCATGGTTTACATCCGCAGCAAATCTGCAACCAGTAAACGCAGCTCTGAGAGATACCAGGATTACGTCAAGAAGAGACAATCCTGGACCACGCAGGAGTACAAGGACTACAACAAGCAGTGGGGATATCAGAAGCAGTGGAAGGACTATAGCAGTTCGACCTGGAATGATTATGGAGACCATGGCAGTCAATCCGACAGCAGCCGCCGATGGTATCGTCGATCCGACTGACCATGAAGATACGTTCAGCACCACGAGCAATCCAGATGATTGATCCTCCTCTTCTACAAGACTATACCATGAGTGAGTGATCAATAGTTTCACAATTGTTTCGCGTGTACATAGCGTTGTACATCACCCTTTGATACAATTAGGTACCCAAAAAGAAGCGTACATAGTGTTTCCCATTTCGAAGGCCAAGACATTTCATCCAGCACAAAAAGGATGAATCCGGCACTTTTAATCACATGGCTACGGCACACATTAAGGCTACGGTCAAAGGCCATGAAGCCAATAGTATTTTATACTTTGTGCTGGAGATCAAAAGAAATTTGTGTCTGTTTTGTGTTCTGTTTTCCAGACCATTGATCTCCCGCAACATTTGGCTCAAGGCCCCTTTGGCATAATCACGACCATCCGAGCGTGAGGACAAAAGAGCCATTGCAGGCCGCTTACAGGATTATCCATCAGACAATCCACCAGGGACAATCCATCCTCCAATCATCCATTACTGGCATATTGTAGATCCAGGGACCAACAACGACCTCAACTACCACAAGGTTCCAGTTCCCTCCAGGGATAGGCACCTGGGGCAGCGGGCCTCACCCCCCCCTCCCTCCCCTTTCCCGCACAGCCCCTCCCACTTCCTTCCTTCCCAGCCATGAGGCGCATGGCTCCATTTGGGTAAATCAACATCCATGTGCCACCTTTGATGTTCACCAGTTTGAAACCCACCGCCCGCTCTCCCACTGTGAGCTCTCCCACCCGTCCGGCGGTCTGGCGAGGAGAACGCGGTGCACTTCTTCCCCTCGCGCGCCGCGGAGGTTTTGGGCGAGCTGAGCGCCAGCGAGGTCCAGGCGGTGGCTCGCTTCGTGATGGCCAAGACAGGGGCCCAGCCCTGCCGCTCCGCCCCGGAGGCGCCGAAAAGGGGAGGGGGGAAGGGAAGGGAGGGGAGGGGAGGAGGGGGGGGGAAGGGAAAAGGGGGGAGGGCTTTTTTTTTGGGGGGGGGGGGGCGAAGATCGAGGTTCAGCTGGGTTTTGGTTTTGGGTTGGGGAGGTGGGGAGAAGGCCAAGATTTTGACACCTGAAGCAACCTTGTCTTTTCTTGCCGTAGCAGAGCCTTCAAGATGGTCGAAAGGCGTTTTTTTTCTTTCTTCTTTCCTTTCGAAGGTACTGGTAGCACAGAGTTCGCGCATCCTCGCACGGATCTGAAAAAGAGGGGAGGCGACCCCTAGGATCGCCTTGGTTTCATATGGCTGTGAACGTTCATGGTTTGACAGGGCTCCTTAAAAGAAATTCATTTTGCAACCATTTGAAACATGGTTTTTTCCACCAAAATAAAGGGACACCACCATTTACAAGGCAATGTTCAGGTGTATAATGTAAGGATCCCTGTTTGAGCTCGAAAGTTTTTGCAATGACATTTGATACGGTTTCCGTTCACGGATGGGAAATCTTCGCCTTGCTTCTTGCAGGTGACATGGTAGCACAGGCATTGCCACAAGTGAGTGCTGACTGCACCAGGATACGCAAACGGCAAGGCACTGTGCATTAATCTTCGTCCCAAGCTTGCCGTTTGCAATGCTATGAATTTTGCTTTTCTTTTTGATGCGCATATTTTACACTCCAACCCTGGCAGTCACAAAGGCAATTGGTGGCGGGTCTACAAAAAAGAATGGTACCTCCTTCTGAGGGCAATGTGCATTAGGGACCGTGCCAAATGGCTCGTTTCGCTTTGGTGTCCTCTTTCATAGAAGGATCAACTGCTGAGTGGACCTGGTCTTTAGGAGGGCCAGTGTGGTTGCTCCACTGGAACCAAGCTTTCGATGTTCATCCACCAGTCGAACCCACGCCAACTGTTGACACAGATGAGCGCAACGGTTCTGGTTGGGTCGGGCGTCCCCGTTCAATGTGCTTGGATTCCTTCCTGGGTATTTGATAGCTGCATGTTCAGAACTTGCGGTACCCTGCAGGTTCTTTTACCTCCGCTTCTTTCTGGCACGCCCTCCCAACATTGACGTGCATGTTCTTTTCGGCCCCTAACGGAAAATCTGAAAATACGGGTCTTCACTCTAGTTGACATGCACGCTCGGTGTCGCTCAACAGGTGTTCCTGCCGTGTTCTTCACGACTTTTTCCCCAATACTTTCAAAGAAACCACTTTTTATTGCATGGTTGTTGTTGGGACACATTTTACATATTTGCTTATTGTGGTTTAGTGGTTGAAATCCAAATCCACTGAACTGCTGAAATTTGGGAATTTTTGCTCCCCTTCCAACGAAAAACTTCCTAAACCCTAAACCTTCAACCCTAAACCCTAAACCTCCCTAAATCCTAAACCTCCCTAAGCCTCCCTAAGCCTCCCCAAGCCTCCCTAAGCCTCCCTAAACCCTAAACCCTCCCATTGGCACGGTAAGTCTTCTGCCCCCGGCCCTCGCCACTCGTCTCCAGGTGGAGACGTGGCTGGCCGGGCCCAGCGCGGTGGAGCTGCTGCGGCCCAAGAAGAAGGCCCGCGGGGTCCCGGCTCTCGGGTTCTCGGCCGTTCGTTTATTTTTTCCCCCACCCGACAGGAAGGGGTTGTAGAATTTTATGTCGGTGAGGCGGTTCGTTTTTTTCTTCTTCCGGGTCTGTGTTTCTTGGGGAAGCTCCTGGTGGTTGGCTTTGAAGGGAAAATAATAGGAGAACAACATGTTGCTTTTTTCCCCAACAGCTGAAAGCTTTGGGGTCTCAGCCCAGGGCTCCGGGGTGGTCCGGGGCGGCCCTGAGGTAAGGTTCCACGAGGGTTCCACGAGGGTTCCACGAGGGTTCCACGAGGGTTCCACGAGGGTTCCACGAGGGTTCCACGAGAATTCCACGAGGGTTCCACGAGGGTTCCACGAGGGTTCCACGAGGGTTCCACGAGGTTCTACGAGGGCTGTGGGGCGGTAAAAGAGCACCGCACGGTTGGGGATATCACCTGAGCCTTTTTCTTTTTCCCCTGGGGGGTCCCATAATTTATCTAGTCTTCCCCACAAACAAATGGCTCACCACAACTGGAGATTTTTAGGAGTCAAACTCCCCCCCTCCCCCACCTCCATATTTCCCCCAGACGATTCCATGGAAGCTCCCACAGAGGCCTCGGAGCTTCCGGCGGTTAGTCTGAGGGAGTGTAAGGGGGAGCTTCCCGAAGACATCGAAGTGGTTGGAGAAACCCCCAGCGATCCCACAAGACGGTTTTTGAGGGTACCTTTTCTCGCGGTGTTAAAAAGAGAACACAAAGAGCATCCGCCATGTCCCGTTGCTTGCTGGTGCGATCGGTGGGGAGTGTGGGTTGAAGGAACCGGAACTTTGGCGCATTTTGCTTGGATGTTAGGACTTTAACTTTTTGCCAACTAATGTGTTTTTCCGTATTAAACCACTAAAAGTTATTCACTTTCAGGGGAGAAGAAAGGCACCGAGCGCTGGTGCGAGAGTCCCGAAGAACGGACACCAGTAACGGATGGTTTTCTTGGGGCCATTCCGTTTCTCACTCTCTGAGCACCGGCAAGTTTTCTTTTTTTTGTTCTTTTACGAGGGGCCCCTGAGTTTCCCGGAAGGGACCTCCCGAAGTGGGCGATCCTAAAGCGATGTTTTTGTGGTGAACGTTGAGGGAAGACTCAAAGAGGGTACCTTCACAGTTCTCGGCATGTTTTTTGTTTTTTAGTTTTTTGGTTCTGTTCATTTTTACTGGGGGTCTCCAAAAAGCTAAAAGCTTTTCGCTTCACCAAGAGTAGAGATGGTACCCTCCACACGATGGATTCACCAAGGACTGAAGCCAAAGAAGTTGGGGTCCCTGAAATTCCCAGAAAGGACCTTTTAACGCGAGACGGCATGAAAACTACGGAGAAGTCAACAAACAAGGCGAAAAGAAACCCAGAAAGGAGAATCAAGCCAAGGCACATCCGGAAAAAAAGAAAAGACAAAAACAAGCAGCAAGCAACCAGACAGTTCTCCACCCCCCAACGGCAGCCCTCACTCTGAGACCTCTGACCTGAGCCTCCTCAATCCCATAGGTGTCCTTTCTGGATGTTTTGCTGGAAAAATAGATGGGTTTCGATTCCCGGTTTACCTGGTGAGTTTCTCTCATCTACCAGGGAAACCCATCTATTTCCAACCAAAAAGGACACCTATGGACAATCCCCTGTGCCATGCGAGAGCGGCGGATATTCGCCTTCTTGATTCTTGAAGCATGGCTCTGGGGATCGACCATTACCCATGTGTCCAGACCTTTACACTGGGCAGACCTCAAGGTTTTGACTATGACGGGTTTTGAACCAACAGTGGGATATGAGATGCTCTTGCCCCATGTTCTTTAAGGCAATCCCCTGGAACATGCAGAGGGTTTTGAACTGAGTGACTCCCCCGCGGCTTCGACCCCGAAATCTCCGGCTTCGAAGCTTCGAGCCGCGAAGCCGCGAGAGCGGCGAATCGGCGAAGGAGACCTTGGCCTATCTGGATGGCCACGGCCCAGCGCCCCAGCGCTTCGCGCGGGTCACGGTGAACACCAAGGAGGCGCCAGCCGCAGCTTCGAGCCCCGCGCGCGCGGCGCAAAACGGGCGGGCGCTAGACATCGACAAAACATGTGTATGTTTTTTCTTTTTCCGAGTGCGGCCCTATCTCCATCATTGTTTTATGGATTGCTCCACCTCGAATGTGTTTTTTTTGCTTTGGTTCATACACCCAGGAGGCGCCGCAAACAAATCGCGCATCGTTCATCGACCATCGTTTTGCTTGGTTCATTGACCATAGTTTTGTTTCTAAAGAATAGCCAGAAGATAAACCATATATATATACATATATACATACATATATATATATACATACATACATATATATATATATGTATATATATATACATATACATATATATATATATATTCGTGCTGAACTTGGATCAGTGGATTGATCCCTGGCCCACCAACCCCGCACCTCGGGTTGGGGGCGGCGAGTTTCCTTTCCGGGACAGTCCAAAAAGGGTGTCCGGATTTTTACCTTTTGGTGTCCGTTCCCTTTTTGGATGGTGCTGTGCCCTTCTCCTTTTTTTTTTTTTGGGGGGGGGGGGGGGTTATAGGGAAACCAAAGGGACAATCCACCATGTTGGTCCGATTCCGGAACAAACAACACTGCCAGATGAAACTATGTAATCCTTGGACCTCGAAAGCGGTGGACATGAATACCCTTTGTTGCATTTTGCTTGGATGTTAGGACTTTAAACTTTTTGCCAACCATTTTTTTTCCCCGTATTAAACCACTAAAAGTCATTCACTTTTCGCAGGAGAGCAGATTTCGCAACCGAGTACCCGAAATGGCCATGGTTCAAAACCAATGGTTCCATTTTGGGATAGATCTATTTTTTAGTGGAGATTGGGATGTTCACTGGAGGTACGATTTGGGTTTCGACCCATGGCCAAATGTCCGCGAAGGGAGAAAACCGATCGCAGAGCCAGGCCGTGGTGGAGTACAAGGTCGGTCCTTTGGGCGCGGACGGCCCGGCGGCAGATGCCACCATCGAGGACCCCCAAAACCCTCAACAAAAATCCTAAGCCGCCCCAAACTAACCTTAAACCGACCCTAAAAACTTTAAACGAAGCCTAACAAAAACCCAAAATGCCCTAAAACACCCTAAGCCAAAGGGGCATGGCATGGATGCGAAGGGGTCCGGGACACAGATGGTTGAGAAGGAAACTTGTTTCTCTTGAAGCGAAGAGATCACTTTTCAAGATGACCTTTTGTTTCAGAGCCTTGTTCTGCTCACATGGCTGTGGTTGTCAAAACCAATGGTACCATTTTGGTTGGTAGGTGAACTCACCACCCATTTTAGTCTATGGGGATTGAATCGGAGGTTCACTGAGGGTACGATTTGGATTCTGACCCATGGTCACATGAACCCCAACATACAGTCATAGGCGTCCTTTTTGGTTGGCTTGCTCAAAAAATAGACGGCGATTCCTGGTTTAGATGGGTTTATTCCATTTACCAGGGCCATCTGATTTTTCCAAAAGGCCAGCTATGCATACAGTCCCCCACAGACCCGTCCATTTTCTCAGAAACGGAGAGCCACCTCCCGGACTCGCAGGAGCTGGTGCCTGCGGGGGTGATCCCCTACTCGAAGCGTCCGGGTATCGAGCTGGAAATCAACCAGCTGAGGCTCTGCGAAGTTCTAGGGGTTGAGTCCGACCATTCTTTTCGGCCATCGTTCTTTTGAAAATCCGATCGCCATTTCCCCAGGGTTGGGTGGCTTTCTAGAAAGAAGGATCCCTGGAAAGAATGGGGAAGTTGCCCCTAGAAAAGTCAGTGGACCTTTTTTTGTACTCTTGGCTTTCGAGGTTTGATGTGGTTTTGGCTTTGCAGGTTTTGGCTTTGCAGGTTTTGGCTTCGCAGGTTTTGGCTTCGCAGGTTTGGTTTATTTGCAGTCAAGGTGGCAACAGGTGAACCGATATTTCAGATTTGGGCAAGTGAGGAATGTGATCTTCAACCAATCGGCGCATCAGATGGCACCCCTACTGCTCGAGGCGATTGGATGGGCGAGCCTTCCTTTTGACAGAAATTGTCGGAGGGCAGAAGGGGGAGAAGTGGTCATGGAAGGGTGGGCAGGGGAACGAGGAAACAACATGAAAAGTCATTCGCTTTGCTGGATGAGGGTGGACACGGGCATAGAACCAACTGCGAGAAGCTTGTGGGGGACAAAACTCGTTGGCGCCACTTCCATTGCACTTTGTCAAAACTAGGGACCCCATTCTGGGCTCTTCGAAAAGGAGCGAGTCCTTAGTTTGACATACAATGTGAAGGGTGGAGTGAAGTCGACACTCACTACTTGCATATGCCAGCTTGGGGTGGGCGGTGGATTTCCTCAAGAGGGATGCATTGAGGGCCCATGGTCGAAGCACGCGGATGCGTGGTGCAAGTGGGGCTGGTCATCACACCAAAGCGAGACAATGATCCGTACAAAGGAGTCCAGCGCTTTGCAGGAAGCATGCATGCGAGTTTGACTCAACAAAGGGAACCTCTTCCTTTCTTGAATGGATGTAACCATTACAGCAAACTGCAATTCGCCACCTGATTCCTGATTCTAAGGATCGCATATCACATGTCTTTTTGTTTGACCGGCTCCCTCTACTTGACTTGTTTTCAAAGGGACACGACAATCTGAAGCGGCTTCGTCTCTTTGGAGCATAGGTGTCCTTTTTAGGTGAGTTTGGCTCGAAACCAGGGTTGTGGAATCACTCGGGGTTGATTCCCACTTCTGTGATACAAGGGAATCTCCCCCTGTATATGGGGTGTTACTCTTTGGGAAGCCTTTTTGTTGTATCACAGAAGTGGATTCCATTTCCCACAACCCTGCTCGAAACCGATGGTTTCAACTGGTTTAGATGGGTTTCAATCCAGAAAACCAGTGAACCCCATCTACTTTCAACCACCAAAGACCCCGCAAAACATGAGCCGGATTCGGGCCAAACAGGGCCAACCATCCAGTCTTGGCGTTTGTTTTTCCTCCTTTTTTTTTTGGCGGGGGGGGGGGGAGATCGTTGGTTGGTTGGTTGGTGGTTGGTTGGTTGGTTGGTTGGTTGGTTGGTTGGTTGGTTGGTTGGTTGGTTGGTTGGTTGGTTGGTTGGTTGGTTGGTTGGTTGGTTGGTTGGTTGGTTGGTTGGTTGGTTGGTTGGTTGGTTGGTTGGTTGGTTGGGTTGGTTGGTTTGGTTGGTTGGTTGGTTGGTTGGTTGGTTGATTTGGGTATGTGTCCCATATCATCGTGTGGGGTGGGTTGGGGTGCTACATGTGCTCTCGTCCTTGCGGTTTCTCTTTACCCATCTCCAAAATAATTTCGTTCTCTGCGCTCTTTTCCGCTTGTCCTGCGGCTTCTTTTGGCCTTGGGTTTTGCTTATCCGAGCCAAGGTGAAGATGTGATACCTTTGCCCAAATCACCAAAAGTAAGACATGGATTTGTCTCTCTTTGGGGGGCGTCTTTAGAAAAAGGGGGAGACCGCCGGGGAAAAAAAAAAGAACAAGCCGCTCTTTTCCGCCCTTTTTCCGCTCTTTTCCGCGAACATTCCTTTTTGGCGGTTGGGTTTTGGGGGTGTCTTGAGGCCTTCGGGAACATCTTCCCCATGCTGCCCGACTGGGACCAGAAGAAGGGCACCATCACCCTGACCCCCCGGAACGACGCGCTCTCGCCCAGAGGACGCGGACGGGGACGCGGACGGGGACGCTTGGGGACGCTTGGGGACTTCAGGGGGCGCAAGAAAGGACCAAGTCGCCCAGGAAACAGGGCAGCGAGCGGTTTGTTTTTTTCAGTGGTCTTCGTTTTTTTTCTTCTTTTCTTCCTTTTTTAGACGCCCCCCCCCCCAAGAAGGGTACAAAGAGAAAGAGAAAGAGAGACAACTCCAGGGCAAAGGTGTCACATCTCCCCCATGGCTCGGATAAACACCCCGGCCTGGGGGTTGTGTCAAGCAGATTTCCTGCATTCCATTGAGGCCTCAACATGGCTTTCTCTGGGGGTACACCAACCCCACCACCATCTTGGGCTCCAAATCCAACAATTTTGGATGTGTCTTTGTTCGCTACGCTTCTTGTGGTTGTTTTCAGGGAAAGCCCACAGCATAACCCGGCCATTGGTAGGGCACGCCGTGGCCTGCCCCCCGATTTGTGGCGCCTGCGCGCAGGCACGCGCCGGCTCCGCATGAAGTTCACGGTGACGCCGCCCTTGCCCTCCCGTCCGGACTCCCAGTGGATCTATCCGCTGCCGCTGGACATGGAGGCGACGATCTCGATGTCGAGGTCGACTTCGTCGCCAGCTTAGACTTTTTTTAAGCGGCAAAAGGTTGAACTTTTTGCTGGGAGCACCCAAGAATTCTAGGGTCTTAACCCAGGGATCCCGAATCTTTCTAGAAAAGCTCCGGAAACCCGAGGAAAACGGATCCGGTTTTTGGAAAGAACGATGCTTGGAAAGAATGGGGAAGCAACCCCTAGAATTCGCATCGATCGCAGCATCCCTCCGTTTGGGGGGAAGGGGAGGGACCATCGACGGGCGGCTTTTTTGCCACCAACAAAGGCCACAACTTTTGCCTTTTTTGTTTGGGACTCAACCTGCCGGTGGTCCAAAAAGCAGGTTCTTGGTGGACAACAAACACACATCTGTCTCTCTCTGTCTCTCTGTCTCTCTCTCGCTCTCTCTCTCTCTCTATCCCTCTCTCTCTCTCTCTCGGTCAGTTTGGTGAGAAAATCTAGTTTAGCAATCCATAACTAGGGGGCTCCTTGTCTCCAGTTTTGGAATTACAGTGATTTGCCCACATAGACGGGCTTCATTGGTTTCAGTTTGGGTCTCATAGTCTGTCTACCCGTCCAAAAGGACGCCTGAGCTGCTTGCCTCGCAAGGGGGGTGATTCCTTATGGAACCAAAGACTCACCAAAGACAAACACATGCAGTTTTTTGGTGGTGATATTTTGACCCATATAGACACATCCTCCACTTTGCTAAGAGAGATTGCTCTGCGCGGACGGAGCTCTCGTGCTTCACCTCACAGGGTTTCGACGACGGCGTGGGATGTTTTTTGGTCGGGGGCTTCTGCTCACTTCAGAACTGGGAAGCACGGTTCGGGGGAACATTTCCAAGAGTCTTTGGGCAACTTGCGGGGGGTCATGGGGCACTCTCTGGATTTCCAGATGTTGACCGGCTCGCAGTTGACGAAAGTCGGGCACCTTTTAGTGCACCGCTTTTCCGGAGTCCCGAATTCGAGGAACAGCCATTGACAGTCTTGGTCTGCGGTTCGGAGGCGAACGTGACCTCCTGGAACGTCTCCGAGTGGAAGGTGAACCACATCACCTTCTGCGGGCAAGGTCCCTTCCCTTCCGAGGCAGCTCTGATGAAGGCCTACAACGAAGGCTCCGATGCGACCTGTGCGGTAGGCTGTGGTGCAAAGGGACGACTCCAGTCAATCAAGCGATCTTGGGCAGGTCTCAGATTTGGCACCCAAAAGTGTTTGGGGCTTCCGAATCACGAAGCATCCATTTGGAGAATATCGGAGAAGAGTGCTTGATTGGTGGCCAGTTTTCCTCTTGTGCAGGACCAGGTGCTTGATATTGATTTGAGTATGCTTCAAAATGGATGACCCCCTCAAACAAGAAACTTCATAAAATGATTTCCGTTCGAAAGGGGCATGCAACGAAAACAACAACTTCACACATCCATTTGTGAGCTATGAGTAAGTCTTATTTGCGATTCAACTCACGCATCTCCAACGGATCGTTTCTTCGCGCCTTGGTGGCCATCACTCGAAGCGCTGGGAATCCCGACGTGAAACAAAGCTGGAACCAAAGACCTGTGGGTGGCTGGCCTTCCCTTGAGGACTCCGACCATGGGCTCGGCTCGTTTTTTTTTTGTTTTTTGTTTTGTTTCCGTCTTTGAAACCATCCAAGCATCAAGTGCCTGGACCCCGCCAAAATGGATTCCGGCGTTTCCTTTGGGTTCTCTTGAAAGAACCGACCTAAGAACAGGCCAGCTCCCCAAAAACGGGCCGGAGCCCGACGTCTCGACGTCAGTTTCGTCGGCGTCGCCGGTTTTCGCCAGGCCACCTCTCGGTGTGCAAGCCCAAGATGGACTTCGGAACTTGGGACACCCCGCAGCACGAGTCCCCAAGGCAGGTTGGATTCTGGCCTTTGGGTGGCTCGTCTTGATTTGGTAGTTGGTACATCTCTTTGGGTTTAAAAACAGAGGATCACCACCCAATTGGTATCCCTCAATATGGTGGTTTGGGGTGGTTTGGACGCCTGGTGGAAGCTCATTTCGTGCCTTTGTTTCGATCCTGGTTTAGGAATAGGAATAGGGAATGGTTTGCCTGCTGTGTTGGATTCTTGTGGCCGTCCCAGGGATTCCCAGCTTTACTCAAAACAGCTGCCGAATTTTTTTCCGTCATTCCCGCCTTTCTCGACATGTATCTCTGGTTCTTGATTGGTTTCATTCGTGTTCCCTCCCCGTCTCCTCCTGTCAGCATGGTCTGCAATAGAGGGGTCAGTCACCCCAAACAGACCACTCAAGGACATTCCGGACTTTTTGCACACTTTTCTTGTTCAATTCTTTTGATGTCGGTTCTTCGGGAGTCAGTTCCTCACTTCCCGCCCTTGTCCACCAGACTTGGGCTAGCCCCTTCAACATGGGACTATGCCATAGTTTATCAACCTTCTTTCGGTTTCCTCCAAATTTAGGCGCTTTACGCAATCTTGCCTTGCGAGTTCTGAGGAATCTGCCCTTCCAACAATTCCATATCAGGAGCCAAGTAGGGGGTTGGTGAGGCTTATTCCGCTGCGAACAAGCACGTGGTTTTCACATGAAGAACCATGCAACGGACTCTGACCAAAATTGGGCAAGGACGCCTTTTCTGTCCGGCAAATAATCTTTTCTCTGCCCTTTGGGATGAAAGACACAAAAGTGGTCCATGTACACATCCAATGTCCACCAAAGGGTGCAAGTGACCCGCAAGGGTGTCTCAAGCCCCCCCCCTCTTTCCCACAACCTCCCCCCCCCCCGCCAAATAGGTGGTTTTCCTTAAAGGGTTGCCCTCAAAGGATTTCCGGCACTTCATTTCACCGAAGGGCAATCTTAAGGAGATGGGCTGGCTTCTTTGGTCCCACCGTCGTGGCTTGAGGTCTTTTTTGGCTTGCAGGAGACTCGGGTCATTTGTACCCCAAACCCACAACGCACCACCCCCCAAAAACAACAGCACCACAACAAAGGCCCGGAACAGCCCCAGCCACCTCCCCCTCCCCTTTCACACCTGTCGTCTTCCTTTCGGCTTGCTCCACCCTCTTCAGCGTCGCTCGCGTCGTGCGTTGTGCGTCGTGTCCTTTTACAGGGCAAGTCGCCAATGAAAGGACCGCCCGAATGTCCTTATATAGGCAATCTGTAATATCAAAGTAGTTATTCAAATGGCTGTGGGTCAAAACCAATGGTACCATTATGGGGTAGTGGAATTCACAACCCGTTTTAGAACCGGTTTTAGTGGGGACTCGGATTGGAATGTTCACTGGGGGTACGATTTGGCTCTTGACCCATGGCCATATGGGGGGTGTCTGTCATTTTCCCGGTTTTCGCGGTTTTCCTTTAAAGGGCCACTTGAATCTGAGGATCCGAGCGACGAACGTCCCACTCGACTCGCGCCACTCGAGTGGCTCGAGTGGCTCGAGGCCGGCGCCGGCCCCGCGGCCCGAGAGTCGCAAGGGCGGCGTGGCCTGGGGCCCCTGGAGCTTCTCCGTGACGCAGCGGCCCTCCACCGGGGTGGCGGTCACGGACGTCCGCTTCCGCGGGGAGAGGAGAATGCTTCGGGGGGGGTGCTTTGGGGGGGCCTTTGGGCCTTTTGGCGGGGGGGGGTGGTTTTGTTGTTGTTTTCTTTGGGTAGAAGAGTTTTTTTGGGGGGTTTGGTTGGGTTTTGGTTTGGTTTGGTGTTTGTTTTTTTGGGGGCGGGGTTGTGGGTTTTGGGGGTGACTTTCGTTGACAGGGCCACGTTTTTGTCAGACCCAAAGTGGTGGATTCCCAGAATCTCGTCAATGGGGCAGAATTGGCGGCGCCAAAGTGTCAAAAGGGGTACCCAGGTGGTTGCTTCACTGTTCTTGGCATGTTTTGTTTCTTTTTTTCTCCAGTTTTTTTGTTCTGTTCATTTTTACTGGGGGTCTGCAAAAACAAACAATTGTTCGCTACCATACCAAGAGTAGAGATGTTGGTTTCCTTCTGGCTTGCATACCATTCCCGATGTTCATCAGTCGTAGAGAGGCTTTTCAGCTTGCAAAACAGCCAGCGGCTTGGACCAGTCCCGCGCAAGGGACACCGAACCGGATTCAAGATGTTCCATCCCCCCAAACGACCTCAACCCAGGTTGTTGTTCCAATGAAGGACGCACATGTTCAAACAAGGGACTCACTCCCTGAGTTCATGGACTTTAAACTTTTTGGAAAGACATTTTTAGCTCTAAATACAAACTTCAGACGTTTTGTGGCCAATCCACTCAGGAAGTGAGGGGGAATTCTAAGTAGATGAAAGGGATATGTTCAAACAAGGGAATTCTACGTAGATGAAAGGGATATCCAACAAGGGAATCCTAAGTAGATGTAGATGAAAGGGGTATCCAACAAGGGAATCCCAAGTAGATGTAGATGAAAGGGATATCCAAAAAGGGAATCCTACGTAGATGAAGAAAGGGATAGGGATTCGGAATAGATGATGAAAGGGATCGGAATTCGAGGTACGTAGATCATGAAAGGGATAGGAGTTCAACGTAGATAAGGCAAAGGGGTAGCTCGGGAAGCCAAACTTTATGGTGGTTTCCAGATGTTGGAAGCTCCGAAAAAGATCTCGTTAGGATCCTGTACGAGCTGGCGCTGATGGACTCACAGGCGCTGAGGGTTTCAAGCTCTGAGGTCCAGCTGGCCTAGCGGGGGTTTTGGTGGGGTGAAGGCTCCCAGATGGCTGTGGTTCAAAAAAGTGGAACCAAAATGGCACCTTGGTAAATGGGGCCAAAGACAAAAACCTGCGTAAGCCCTTGCTCTTTAATTTTGAGCCACACCCAGATATGGCCATGGGTAACCTATGCCGATCCCATGGGGCGGATGAACACCCAGAAAACAGTTTATTTTGAGGTTCACCAGCGGTGGGTTTTGACCCACAGCCATATCTGGGCTGTCTTTTTTTGGGGCGCGGCTTTCAGGGAGGGCTGAGGGGTTGGTTGGTTGGTTGGTTGGTTGGTGGGTGGGTTGGTGGGTGGGGGGGGGGCGTGGCTTGGTTGGTTGGTGGGTGGGTGAGTGGGTGGGTGGGGGGGGGGGGGGCGTGGCTTGGTTGGTTGGTTGGTTGGTGGGTGGGTGGGTGGGTGGGTGGGTGGGTTGGTGGATGGGTTGGTTGGTGGGTGGGTGGGTGGGTTGGTGGGTGGGTGGGTTGGTTGGTGGGTTGGTGGGTGGGTGGGTGGGTGGGTGGGTGGGTGGGTTGGTTGGTGGGTTGCCCGGCTCAGGCGATTTATGGTGGATCTGCCCGAGACCAATTCATGTACTCGGACAGCGCCTACACCATGTCCCAATGGAGCGTTTCCCTGGAACCTGGGGTGGACTGCCCCGACAGGCAGGGTTTGCTTGATCTCCTGAAATTTGCCGGAAACCCCAAAGAGGCTCGTTGAATGATTGGTGCTTGAACATGTTTGAACAGGCCCCCTTAAAATGGAAACGCATCAGATTTGTGTTTGAACCATGGTTTCAACAAGGTTGAATCGCATGACAGGGCCACCTACCTTCCAGTCGCCAACTGGATGGGTCCTGACTTGAGCGTCGCGCCCAACGTCTCGGATGATCCTTTGCCGCAATCGGCAGCATTTCCAGCCTGAGACCATCTGGAATTTGCAACCAACATCGAGGGCCGATTTCTTTATTCATGTTTCCAGACGCAGAAAGTGACGGGTCGGCCCTTCCAAGGGCTCTCAGAACTTCTTTTTTTTTTTGGGGGGTCCCCCCAAAAATGGCGGTTTTGCTGTTGTGTTTCCCTTTCAAGCCGCAAAAACAACAAGCGGGGGAGGGTGTGTGTGTGTGTGTGTGTTCTCAAAAAGAGCCGCACATCCTCGCCCAGGTGCGCGAGTTCTACCCCATTTGCGTCTTCGACTGGGCGGAGGACCACGAGATCTGGCGGCACATGGATGGCAACTACACCCGGGGCTACATCCGCAAGACGGCGGCTCGGCCGAGCAGCGAAAAGGGGCGCCGTCCGCATGCTGGGGTCATGGATTTTGGCTATTTCTGGGTATGGGTCAAAATTAAACCACCAAGGGGACCGCAGGTTTTAGTCCATGTGTTTCCATCTACCAGGGTTCCATTTTGGGTACCTATTTTTGACCCACAGCCATTTCTGGGGGTTATCAAAGACAGAAAATGCGGTTGTTTCCCTTTAACCCACCACTTTAGGGGGTGACTTTGATCATGGCAAAATAATGAGGCCAGGAGCGACCCGTTGTGGCTGCCCCTGAACAGTGATAAGCAACAAAGGATAAGCAGCAAAGGGTGTGTGTGTATCACCAAGAGGGTTTCTTTAGCTTGACACAGAAGGGGACCTCTTGAATGACTCCCTACGGGAAAACCCACAGATGGCTTTTCCACACTGCGAGTTTTCGCTTGATTCCACGCAGATGTCAGGCTTTCGCACGTTTCCACGTCGCAGCTGGATTCCCGCGATCCTGGGCTTGGGCGCGGTTTGGTCCTTTGGTCCTTCGGTATGTCATTGAAGAAAGGGAAACTTGGGGACTTGCAGAACACCACTGGTCCTTTGTTTCTTCCCCCCGGCTTTTGTTGGTTTGCCCCCCTCGCTTTTGGGGGGGTCTGGATTTCTCCCATTCTTTTGCGGGGCGTTCGGTTGCGCTTTCCGGCCGTGAGAGCTGTGGCTGTGGCCGAGTGGAGTCGAGTCGCTGAGGTGGTGGTGCGGTCCATCGCCACGGTGGGGAACTACGACTACATTATGGACGTGAAGTTCCGGGAGGAGCCGAGCCGATCGAGCGATCCGCGCAGATCCGCGCACTGGGGTGGTTGGTTTGAAGGGAAACCCAAGGGACAGCCGAGCCAAAAGGAGGTGGTTGAAACGGTGTGGTGGTTGACGCTTTAAAGGGAAGCCAGTGCGGTTGGTCCTCTAAAAAAGGGACACCCAAGTAGTTGGTGGTTGGTTGTTGAAGGGAAGCCAGTGTGGTTGGCCCTAGGAAAAAACACGCGAAACCGAAGTTGGTTGAACGCGTAGTGGGTAAACAACCGAGCCGGACCTCAAGTATTTTGGCCCCTTGAAGGACGGAGAGATCAACGTGGAGACCCGCTTCGCGGGATACCCGGAGACCAGGTGCCGCGGCAAAAGAGATCCAGCCAAGCCACTTGCCAGGTGGCAAGCAGGTGGTCCCAATATGGCTGTGGTTGTCAAAACCAATGGTATCCCATTTTGGGGTAGGTGAATTCACCACCCTTTTTAGAATCTATTTTAGTGGGGCTTGGGATGTTCACTGGGGGTACGATTTGGATTTTGACCCATGGCCATACAGGTGTCGCTCAAAAAGTAGGGACACCCTCAAATGGAGCCCTGGCAAATGGGGAACCAGAGACTAAAACCTGCGGTCTTCTGGGACCCCATACCCATCTTCCCTTGTTTCAAATTTGGGGTCTCGTTGGTGAGCTGTGCAAATTCAGGTCCCCTCCGATTGAATGGTTTGGGATTGGGACTTGAACTCCTAGAGGGTAAAAGGGTTCCCGCCGCCACACCTCCGAGCCTTCGTCAGTCTGGGTGAAGTATAGCGACCTCACGCGACCTCACCCCAAATGGTGGTTCATGTGGGGGATAGCCCCCCAACCACTGCAAGTTTCAGGCTGGTGAAATAAGTCACCCAGAGTTGTCCGTCCCGCAACGAGCGCGAGGTACCCGAGCCAGGGTGAGGAGAGGTTCTCCAGCCTGGTGCGGGAGGGCGTCGCCGGCATCGTGCACACCCACTCCGTGGCCTGGAAGGCCGACATCGAGGCTGGGGATTCGGCGTCGAGGAAGCGGTTCGGAGGCGCGCGATGTCCGGAGATGCGCGGAAATGCGCGAGGGTGAGGCGGGTTGGATTTGTTTTTGGGGGGTTTTCGGGGGGGAAGGGGAGGGATGGGGAAGGGGAGTGATGGGGTGGGGGAGTGTGTTTTTTTTTTTTGGGAGGGGGGTTGTTCTTTGTTTTTTTTTTGGGGGGGAAGGGGAGTGATGGGGAAGTTTCCTCAGGCAAATCCTTGGGCGCCATTTGCAGGAAGGGAAGTTCCCCCCCCCCCCCCGCCGCGGCAGCGCAACGCATGAGAAATTCAAATACCTGAGCTGGTAAAGCAATATGTTCTATTTGCTCATTGAACGGTATTTACCAGTTCAAAAATATCATGTGCAACGCACCGGAACAACACCAATTCAATGCGAATGTGCAAAAGGATTGTTCCACATTCGAAATCCAACTTGCCAGTTCGACCAAACCTCAGAAAATAAAGGCGCCGCCTCGCGCAGGTCTCAGGCAGCAAGAACGCCCTGCACGTGACGGAGGTCCGTGAGCACGAGTCCAGCGGATTGGGGGTGAATTGGAGAGCAGACCCCCAGGAGCCGCGGCACGAGGTGTCGGAAAGGGCGGGGAAAATCGGGGGTTCTCCATTTATTTTTCGAGGCGATGTTTTTTTTTGGCAGGGGATGGGGTGGGGTTCTGTGGGCCAAAAGGAGAGGAATTGTCCGGAGGGGTCCGGAGCAGGGAGGCGGTCCGCTCCGAGGAAAGAGCGTAGTCATCTATGCCGTTGCGGCAAGATTCTGGCCCATGGGTGGTGTCCTTGTCAAGTTTTCGGGAATTGGGGCAGCTCAAAGACACCTTCTCTTCTAGGGCTGAGAGGGGATACTTTGTTGGCCTTGAAATATCCTGCGCCAGTCTGGGAACAGGTAGAATGTTCCGTTCCCACTTATCTTGGAAAGCAGAGCGCATTTGCTAGGAGTTCCACCCCCGGGGTAGGCAGCCCTCGTTCGTGTGTGTGTGTGTGTGTGTTCAATATGCCACTTGTATGGAAAGACGGGCCAAAGAACCAATGCCATACTTGGTGTTTTTCTGTCCAGTCGATATGGTTGCTGGCTCTTTGTCTGTCACACACACACACACACACAAGAGGTGTCATTCTTTCCACATGTAGGGACCAAAACGGGTGTATTCAAGTTCGAACCTCTCCACAGGCCGCTTGAAAAGGGTATCCCACCAACTCACATGGAAGTGCAAAACGCCCCTTTCCAAGCGGAAAGTGGTCTTCCTACAGGGTCTTGCACTTCCATGTTCGCTGGTGGGCTCGCCCGAACCAAGCAAATTTTTGAACAGGGGTCTGAAAGGGCAGAGCAGATTTCGCCACCGAAAGGAGCGAGCCGAAAGGAGCAAGTTCGGAGCAATGTCTATTCTTTCCACGCGTAAGGGCTAAAAATAATATCTTCAAGTTCGGTTCTTCAAGGCAAACCACGTCTGAACGCGTTGAATCAGTGACTGGGCCCAAAACACCCATGTCAAATTTCAGTACACTTCAGGGGTCTGAATGGGCCGAAGGGGCCCAAAACACCTGCGGAGAAATCGCCAGCTTTATACTGTAACTTTTTGCCAACCCATGGGTTTTCCCGTATTAAACCACTCAAAGTTCTTCACTTTCAGGGCTTCGCAGAAAGCCAAACCGAGTAAAGGAGGCGGAGAAAAGGAGCGCGCAGGAGCAGACCTTCCCCACCAAGATCTTGCAGCAGCGCTTTGTAGAGCACGAGGGCCTGCAGAGCTCCACCTTCGTAGCGGACACCAAGGCCCGGGGGTGCCGGACACCTTCAAACATGACTTCTTTTTTTTTTTTTAACGTGCGAAAGAGGAGCAGTAGCATGTCAACCTAGAAGAGTTTTCCAATGTGTTACGGGGATTTTGGTTGCAATTGGAGAGTGTTGGGCCTGAGTACACCAGAAGAGCCCTGGGGTCCCAACCTTTGCGCACGAATCACTGGCTTTTTGCTAGTGACGAGGCAAACCAACAAACAAGCCTTGGTAAGTTGAAGGCTGGTTTTACACCTAAGGGGACCCCCCAGTTGGATAAAATCCCCTCAACCGACCAATTCACATAATATTTTTTCATCATTTCATAACAGAACCTCAACTCAAGATTTAATACATAATTTTTGTAAATATTTTTCCAAATTCCCAAAATATATTTTTCCAAAATCCCAAATTCCCAAAATATATTTTTCCAAAATCCCAAAATATAAAATCCCCATAATTTCAAAACATAAATCTTACAATGTTTTTTATTGTAAGGTTTATGGGTTAATTTATAGTTTAAGTTCAGGATAATAATTTAATTGATGACTACTAAGTTGTACATATATTTTACTTCTTTCATGCATTATTTTAAAAATAATATTAATATCTCTCACTGTATTTTTGACATTAAACTTTTTTCTTTCAATATATGTTTTAATGTCTTCTTTTACATCAAACCCTTCCCTTTTATGATAAGTCAACATCCATAATATACCTTCAATCATTTTATATTTTTTCTTACTGATTTTCAGAAATATTCTAACATAACTATAAGGTGGTCTTCCATACACAGTTAGAAATATCAAGATGTCATCTTCTACATTTCTTTCAGCTATTTTTTTAATCTCCAAAATATTTTCCATTATATTTTGATATCGTCTCCATCTTCTACAAGTTCTACATACATCTTCTTCATCCATTGAATAATCAATAATATTATTTATTATTCCATTAGGTAAATTTAATTTATACAATTCCATATTTTCTTTTTTAAAGTGGCAACAGTCATAGCATTTCTTATTAATATACTTATTGATTTCAATACCGTTCATTTCTTCACTATTAATATCAGGTGTTTTTTCTTTAGGACTATTTCGCCTAAAACTAAATTATTAATTTAAGTCTTTCTATTATTTTATCACACGCTGTTTCATTATAAATATTACTTCCTATTTTTGTTCTAAACAATCTCATTGTTGTAATTGCATGTGTGATTGTATATCTAAGTTCGTCAATTCTATACTCATTATTTAAAAACTCATTTAAAAAATCAAACAATACAACGTATTTTAAACATTTAATATGAAAAGACATATTGTATAATTGTTTTACAATACTATAATACTTAAAAATAAAATCATTATTATTATATCCTTTGTCGTCACATTCTAATAAATTATCAAATCCTTCTATAGTTAAGAAATTATTCATTTCAATAAATACAAATATTTCTAAATCATCATCAATAGTTTCATTATTTATAATATCAATATCCTTGTTATTCATATCATCAATTTTTTTTTATAATTCTATTGCAATTATTGCATATCATATATTGACAAATATTATTACAAACGCCATTTGCAAAACCCCGTTCAATTGGTAATTTGAGCATTTCACAGTCTTTACATTTATAACTCATAAACTTGTTTTTCAATATATTTTTAGCATTGATACCGACTGTATCACTCATTCCGCTATAATATATTAAGTTATCATTTCTTCAAGTCATTTTGAAATCATAAATCTTACAATGTTTTTTTTATTGTAAGGTTTATGGGTTAAAATAATAGTCAGGCAATATGTCTTCAAATATGTAATCTACATATTTACCTATATCATCTTCATCTATATATTTGATATTGTCTTTTCCTATTATTGAATAAACATATTCCCAGAAAAACAAATTCACTAATAGACATACTTTATATTTAGTGTTGTAGTAATACCATATACTATATTCAGTTACTCTAAATTCGTTCAAGACTTCATTTATTTTATCTTTGTCTAATAAATGCCAGTCAATCCATTCAAACAAATAACGGTATTTTTTGACAAATGCTTTATATGGTTTAATTGCGTTTATTCCTCCAAACCTCCTAATTAAATCTATATTACTAAAGAATTCATCAATTTCATTTTCATATGACTTTCTGGAAATCTTCTGGTAAAAGTGTATAGGAAATCTTGCTTGGTGTCGCATAAAGAATTTTAACTGTAATTGAAACTTTGTATATCCCTTATCCTTATGTTCTTCAAGAAAAAACTTTTCAAGGTCTCTTGTTATACAGCATTGATTGCAGTATACATTATATTCACTTATTTTATTACATACATTTGCTGGTAGTATATGATGCAAGGTTAAACTCAAATCATTCATTTTGCATTTACAGCATTCGCACTTGTTATAGTTAAACAACATTTCACTAATATTATAAGGCGTTTTTTCTTTAACTGTATTTCGTTTAATATTAAACTTTTAATAATTCGTGTCTCAAATAAGGATTAGTTTTTCCTTCCAAATGAAAGTAAGATTGCCCTAATTTATTGTCAATTGATTTTACTTTAAATACTTCTTTTAACCAATGACTGGTATGTGCCTTTTCGCTTATGCCTTTCTTCCTCATTATTTTTGCATTACTTCCTACGTCTAATTCTGGATACATTCTAGTTTTCTTTGCTTGCATTGTAATATTCATTTTTACCTCAAATTCATTCTTTTTTAATCTTGCCTGTGCTGGAACAAAGCGGGTGGCAGAATGCACCATCTTATTATTGTAAGTTAATAATATTTCAAAAATATAATCCGTCCATTGGATATTCTGCTTTCCATTTTTCTTGTCCGCTTCAACTCGTTTAAACAGTTGGTCTTTAAAAGTCTGAATTCCACGCTCCGCAAATGCTGGATGACCTCTAGTTCTATGTATTTCAATTTTCTCCTCCTTCAAATAAACTAATACTGATTGATTAAAAAAACTGCCTTCCTCGTCGGTATAAATTAATTTACACTGCCCGCCCATTTTATTTAGGTTCTCCATCAACCCTGCTAAAATGTCTGGCGGTGTCTTGGATTTAATTGGCACGATATGCATATATTTGCTAAAAATATCAATGCATATCATTCCAATTCTAAATGTTTGATTTTCCAAATCATTTTTAGAAATGAACAACAGATCAACTTGAAATTCCCAGAAACTATGCGGAGCAATAAAACTATTTTCACCTCTCATCTTTCTTTTTTCTTCTACATTCTTACTAAAGAATTCATTGATATCGTTAATTGTAATACTACTATCTTTTTGCTTAGCATCCTTGAGGGTTGTTTGTTTTGAACCATAACCGCTTCTATCATAATATACACTCTTAATAATTTCTTGTGTTGAACTCATTAATTAAGTTAATAAAATAATTTTGAAAAACTCATTTTCAAAATTATTCATGACGCGCTGCAATTGCAATAGACACAAAAGGCGGTGCAGTTTTCAACTGTGTGGCATAACTCATTATCACAACGTTGAGCAGTGAAGTTAGAACTTATTTTTCCTCCTCTTGTATCTAGATTAAATTTAATTCCGCAGTTTTGGCAACAGGATTTGAAGTATTTTAAGCACCAGTTTTCGTCAATGTATTGCTCTTCGTCTATTTCTCTTTTTGCTACTCTATCTTGCTGTTTATATCCTTCAACTTTGTTTTTAAAATAGTTGATTACCAAACTCTTAAACATATCTTCATCTCCCTCTTTGTTCTTGTAAAAATAGACATTGTTAAAATCCCTCGCTCGTGTGATACTCGTCCACAACCATTCCCTACAAACTAAATAATCTTTGTTCCATTCGCGAATGGTCATATTATCACTGATTGATGTCCCCTGTCTGCTATGAGTGGTAGCACAGTAGGCATATCTAAAATGCTTATCTACAATATCAATGTCAAGCGTTCTAATGTTCTCTGCATCCTTAATATCTTGGATTGTTATCTTGTATCCTTCGTTATTAACAACCTTCCACCTAATATTAACATTCAGTTTTCCTTCCTTGTCCTTTTTGTAAAGTCTGCATATTAAGATTTCTCCAATTTCATATTTGCATGTTTTACCTAATCGTTTTCTAATCTCATTTGATACTGCCTCACATCTTATATTTGTATATGCTATGTTGTTCCTGCTTTTCATAACATCTTTAGTAAATTTGAAATGCTTAACTATCCATTCTTCAACTGCCATCTTTTTAATCCAAAAGTCATCATAGATTTCATTCAGTTTCTTTCTGTTTCTTTCTCCTTCTTCTGTATCCTTACCACCTACTCGCTTACATATCTTTAAAAATATATTATATTTAAAAATAATGTCAATACATTTGTCAATGTATTCGCCTGCATTTTGAGTATTAGTGAAAGGTTCAATCGGTGGCAGTTGCTTGACATCACCGGCACCTATAATTACGATGTCAGGATTGTTATTTGCAAACACCCTTATTTTGTTCAATATGTAAGGACTGGACATATAAATCTCATCAAACACTATACATTGAAAATCTGAATAATCAAACTTTGGTAGGTCATCCCCTTTATCAACTGGAATACTAAAGAATGCATTTACTGTCACCGCTTCGCATTCAATCTCTTGTTTTAACATATTTTGAGGCACTACGAAAAGTGTATTGTATCCTAAATTTTCCATATACTTGCCTATAAAACTTTTACCGCTCCCAGCAAATCTTGCTCTAATCATAACTCTTCTTTTTTCAATAATCTTATTACAGATGCTTTCAACATCCCACTCATCTTCAATCGGTATTGTTTCATTCTGAAAAGTTGGTATTTTTACTAACTCATTAAATTTCCAATTGTAATCAGTTTCCAGTTCATAGACTTTATTATTTTCTACTCTCCAACCTCCAATATCATTATGAAAATCTAACAACTTCTTTGCCTTCCTTACATCTTTCTTTGCAATATGAAAGGCATCGGTTTTCACCGCATAAACTTTAATACTATTT